CGTGTATGTACGTCTACCATATCTGCTCATCACTAACGTAGAACTCGAGAATCTCCCTGTCTGGCTGAACTATCATCATAGGATCACCGCTTCTGTCTGCACAGCGGTTGTGAACGGAACAGAAGAGAGATCACGGGCAGCATTAGGAGCAGAGTTAGGAAAAGGGAACAACTATGTCGCGATTATACGTTTAACTGTACAGGTCTACACTCAAACACAACTACGGAGTGCAAAACGCATCAAGATCTGCAAAATTCTTGTGTGAAATAACACCACAAACTACTTAGTGCCCTAATCTAACACCGCCAACTAACATAATTTACATCTTTGCCTCCAGCATTCAACTCCAATTCTACAAGGGTAACTACCGAACTCACAAAGAGAAACTGACTCGACGATGAGGATATACATTTTGGGTTTGGGGCAATAGCAGGGAGATAAGCAAATCCCGTAATTGTGGGGTGAGAAAATGTCACCTAATGCCCTGCCTTCGTAATACAGTCTAGTAAAAGAGCTGAACATGAGACAGTGCTCTTCAAGCACCAGTCAATACAGAACAGTTGATTTGGACAGTAGTACGAGACCCATCACAAACTGATACGCAACACACGTCGCACATTTGTGACATATGTGCTCACATATCGAAATGTGGAAAACATCAGTGATAATAGCTGCGAGAGTGTAGAAAATACTAGAGAGATTGCTCTTGCCAGTAGGTCTGCTCGGTTAAAAATGCATGAAATTTGAGGAGGCGTGGATAAATGCAATAAAGTGAGCTCTTGCCCGAAGAAGTTGTTGAAGCTGCTATTAAAGATTGCAGAAAGTGGAGTAATCAATCCATCCCTAATAAATGTTGGCTAAACTGTGTTTGCAAGTATTGCAGCGAATGAATGAATAAGAAGTATTACCAAGAAATCACTCAAAATGTTTGTTTTGCGGTAATTTTTTATAATAAGCAACTGTATGCAAGACAATTCCATGGGAACGCAATTCTGGTGGTGACGCCTAGACTGGATAAAGCAATGCAGCCTGAAATCGCGCTAAGATGCGTGAGTGGATCAAGCTACATAGCAATGCAGACACAATTTTCTACCTATCAAATATTATGTACTCACTTTGTTCTCTTCTGTATTTTAAAATGAAAATTGCAGTAAATTCCCAACTAACGACACACAGATGCACGACTGCAAAAATAGACGAGACTATGAAGTGCCTCTGAAGTAGTTGCAAGTTTTGGTCAAGAAAACGAAGTGTGGAAGATAAGTTCACTAACAGTAGAAAAGGCCTTATTTCATCATGGATTGTGCAGAGGTAACAACATGCCTAACTTTAACTTGCAATTCCATTCTGCCACTTCCGGTAATATTTCTTAAAGCAAAAATTACGTCACTTAATGCGGGTCAGCACATATAATGCCACCTTTTCGACCAAAACTGCCCATTTTTACACTCAATCAGACAGCGTCCATAATGCTATACAATATTATCGTGTTTTCTCCGAGGAGATGGGATTGGCAGTGTACTCTGAGGACGGAGTGGACCGTTTGTAGGGCGCTACACTTTGTCCCCCATCTAACTGATGTGCGACGGAGGTAACATAAAATTCCCATCATTTAAGCATGAGTAAGGTAAGTTTTGTTAACAATTAAGTCATTTTACAATACAATCTCATTAATATTTGGAATTTTTCTTACCTCAATGTACTGCAAAATGCTGGACTTGTGTATGGGAAAGTAGCAAAATCAACGTGAAATTGATCTTCCCTTAACTTTGCATAAAAGTTGGATTGTCCACAGTGGCAGTATTTTGGCAACTTGCGTGTTCAATTTTAAGGTGAGTATAACACTTGGTGTGCTTTTGAGCATTCGAGCGTCTCAGGCATCATGTTTTTCCTTACTTCGCATTTTCCCAGTTCGTTAAATCAGTAACACGGATTTCCACTAAATCAATCAATGATACTCTCTAAATGCCTCAAGATAAATGTCTCCTTTTTATTAATCGCTTCCATATGAAACCTATTAAACAAGTTAAGCCATTCCCTCTTTGTGAATAATACTTCGCGATAACAAACCGCACACTGACATGACGAAATGACATTCAGATGGATGGAGGTAGAAGTACTGAATGGATGGATTAAGAGATGGATAGCCAGTTCACAATGTACTGATTGTGCTTGTTTAATAGCGAAACTGGCGAGACTTAGTGATACGACCAGTTTTTAAAATTTCTTAAAGCTGAAGAAAGTGCACCTGTAAGACATTCCAAAATGTAAAAGAGGGACCGTATTTTTTGAGCCTGCAGTGCCACCCCGCCAATGGTTAGCTATTTTAAAAGGATTCATTTGCATTTGTTCACTAAGTCGTTTATAACCTTTCTGGAGCATCCTTATTCGCAAAACTGCGGCAGTGAATGTGTATACTATCACAATGAGAGCAAATTCCATGTAAATTTAGCAAAATAAATTGCATTTCGCCATTGTGAACTGTGAACGCTGTGACCGAATGCGGGTGCCCGTGGTGGTGGAAGATCTGGCACAACACTTGCACTACGACCATTGGATCCTGCAAGTTGTAGAATGCAATCAGCTTGCGCCGAAATTAATAACGGTGCATGGGCACTTTTTCGTCGTGGTCCGGGATTTCGAATTTTAACCATACTATGCAGCTGCACATAAATTAAAATGCGTTCATAATTTCAAATGAGCTTAAAATCCAAGCTAAATTTATCATTCAAATTTTCAACCTAGAAGATATATCCACAATTCTAATTGTGGAGAGCATAAGTTTAATTTAATCGTCACCCTTCGCAGGAACGGATCGTGAACATCTTCGAAGGACATACAAGTGTTGAGCTTTTAGACCATGCACAAATATAGTTCGGCACATGCCATGACAAATGTCAGCATCGCCAATGTGTACTACTATTCCTCTAAATGTGTTAGCATATTCCTACCACAAGTGGTCTTCAAATGAAGCTAATGTTCCCCAAAAAAACTGAACCGTCAAACGGCCATTAAGTCCACAAACACATTAGCATTTATCCCCATTCTACTTTTCGGTGAGGCTATTAGTTTTTCTTAATATCACTTACTTCAGCAACCGATTGTTGATGTTTTCATTAACACCTTTGAAATATTTTTTCACATAACGATAATTTATGTCAATACAAGTTTTTCAATTAAAGATTTAACTGGGATTTATCTTCACTTGACCTGTGCACTCTACTTGCCTGAAGGTCATGATAGAAAGGAGCGCAGCACGCGATCTCCCTCCGATAACAAAAGGTAGTCATACACCGGTCTCGTAAACACTTGAATAAAATTGGGGTCGTCTTCACACACGATAAGTTGCTTCATGAGTTAGGGGTCTTAAATTAAGAAGGCCCTTGGAAACCCCAAAACGAAGGAATGTGATGGCGCTTTGTTCGACAGCCAAGAAAGTGGGAACGTAATTCTTCAGCATCAAGGAACGGAGGGGGTTTTGCTGGTAGAAAGATGGCAGGTCCGTAGGGACAAAGCAGAAGTAGTGTAGCTCCAAGCGGCCTGGTGTGGTTCATTGAAATTATTCAGGAAACTGCAACCCCCTCAAAAGCATCAGTGCCAAGAGTGACTCGAGAATGACTGAAATGCAAAATTAGGCATTTTAACGCATTAAAAGTAGACCATGTTATCAAAAATACGTTTCAACCCAAAATTTTGTGCTTAGGATTCATAAAAGGATAAGCGGAATGCAGTTTTGCTAGGGCATTGAGATGCAGTGTTAAAGATTAGCGCCAGATCACACGAAATTCTATGGGAATGAAGTTAAAAATATGAATTTTGAGCAAACAAATAAATGAAGAGAAATATGGGTTTCTGTGACACATACGATCCGCCATGTAAGGACGGCTTATTGAATGCGAGCCGCTGGTCTCGATGATTCTTGGCTTACCACTGACTGTGTGGGTCAGTGAAGGTGCTGTGTGATGTCAAAAAAAACAACAATAGTAGTAGTAGTTAGTAACGTTGACGAAAATGTCGCAAGTTGCTTCGCCTATGATGTAACAGTTTGGCCGGTTTGCTAAACTATACGCTCGATATTTAAGAGGAAGTTTCCTTATGAAATGGTCGTTCACTCTGATTTGACATAATAGTGTTTGCTTCAACTAATTTGTGCAAACAATGTAACAATTTGTTTGGTGTCGATAAAGTTAGTAGAATGTGCACTTACCCGAAGATGTTGTGGCTGATAATGAAGTACAGAAAATAGTTCATGTAATTGCTGGGTAAACCACATTCTCCAACAAATTTGCTTGACATTTTTAAAGAAATCCTTTGTGAGGCAACGGCAAAGGAGAACGAAATAGAGCTTGTGCCATTACACCCACTCTCCATGAAGAAGCCGTACATATGGTAAATGCATGTCACATCAGTATCTACAATTTTTACCAGAAATGCGTGGGTGCAAGTTCACTGCTTGCAATAAGTCCTTACAAGTTTAGTACTTACGTACTTGCGGTGATATTGGGTGGAAACACCTACGTATTCTTCTTAGGGAAATTGGCTGAAGCAAGTGTTGCTTGTGGCTGGAATTATTGCTAATAGACGTTTGATTTGCCTTCAATCCGTTTAGAAGTGAATGCTTGTGGGACTGCTTTATCTTCAGGCATTTGACATTTTTATTGATATTGTAACCAGTGTAGATATACACAACACTATTCCAACGATTTGACGGAATTAGTGCACCAGGATACCTCCGGGACCATTATTGCTCACCAAAGTAGACTTGTGTGACTGAAGGCACTTACACAGCAAGATGTTATTTTGTTTTCATACATGCATTAATAATCTGGAAAGGCAATTATTTCTACTTACGAACATGCCACACAAGGACGATTTTGAACAGGACGTAAAGTATTAAGGAGAAGAAAATGCAACGCAAATTACGAGAAGATTGTCGGAACTAATCCGAATGGATTGGCAGCAAATATGTAAGTATGCAATTGAGAAAATGAGTGAACTTGCCACACTGATCCAATCACTCAAGTATAAACTGGCTGAGTCAGCTTTTATGCATATTTATAACTCATAGGACCAGAAGCGAATCGTGTTTTGAATGGTAAGATAGTAGTTTGCATTTTTGAAACGTCGAGCATAACGAGTACGGTTAATGGGGAGGTTACAGAACGAGTCATTATTCAGACGTTAAAGGTTTTTGAAGAAAGGAATGTTTCTATTAATTTATGCCAATAAAATAACAACTCATCATTAACATTCCATTTATTCAACCACTTTGTAGGCTTTCCTTGCACAAATTTTTCCTGATTTTAATGCAGTGTAATTTAATGCTCACTTTAAAGCCCTTCAAGGCCAAATCCACATTAGAGCTTTTGCCTTCGACTTGACAAATGTCCACATTTTCAGGTGCTTTATCTCTTCTTCAGCCGTCCTTGCATCACTGTTGGTATCAACCCCTTGCGAATGCAACCCACCGAGGACTATAGAAAGGCAGACATGTTTCTACTTCTCCCGAGTTATTATGCCGATTTTAAAAGCTGTAAATGTCTAATGTATCTCAGCTGTCTTGCAGATTTTGCACCAGGTATGTGGTTATGACAGCAACATTGACCTTGTTCGTTACACCCCAAAAGCCACATGCTTTAAGGAATAGAGGAAGTATATGTACAGACAGAATTTGTTTCAAGTTGGGGGCATTGCAGGAGTCCACTCTAAACGAAATGCGAGCCAATGCTAAATTGAATAAGTAGAATTTGCCTAACCAGTGATTTTATTAACAATAATTGTCATTGAGCCCGAGGTGGAAGAGGGAAAATAAAGATTTGTATACTCATACCACCTTGACCATTCGTAGTAGGCACACACTGGTGCATTTCATAATGTTTGTTAAAAAGTAGCCACTCTACTCCATCTAGCAGTCTGTAACCGGAGGTAGAGGGCGAGGCGTGGGGGAGAATAAAAGGACCTCTTCAAAGCTCAATAATTGGTCATTTTTTAACAAGGGAGAATCATGCATTGCTAGATAGTGCTTCAGCATTCCTTTTGTATAAATTGTCCTGATACTCACTCACTTTATTTTTTAACACTTGCCCACTACTTCATTGCAGCATTAGCGCCATCCAGCCGCTGGAGTCCCACATCTTGGCACATGTTGAAGGCTGACAAATGAGAATTCAAATCTTAGGCAAGCCATTCTGCGCACGAGCATTAATCGAAGCGATCGGCACTTAACAAACTCTCCCTTTTCTATGGAAGAGTCGTAATTATTTCAATAAATGAAGGCCGCATTACAGAGTGAAGATATGAACATCTTAACGCAGGACGGACAGTTTGTTTCCTTACCACTCAAAATAAAAGCAGTTTATTTTAGACCCGAATGTTGGAGTTTGATCCAACAAACAATATTAATCGCATAAATTTTTGCTCTTTTAAAGTGGAATTGTAAGGGTTTCCAAGATCTCTTTGCCATTATATCACTCAATGTTGAAATCAAGGACATGTTCAGAAGGTGCAAGTAAATTGGCTTACATAAGCACTGACATTTAATACATTATTATTTGGAATCTCAGAAAGTGTCTGAATATCCGCATAATCTACATTGAAATGCTGATTACGAAAACATGGTGCTGGACAACCCAGCAGGACATGAAGCTATTGTGCTTCTCTCATCATGGTTGCGTAGTTGCGAGCATATTCGCCGCATTTTCATCATTGTAAAATTTTTTGGTTGTAAGTCTACGTAGAATTTATAGATGATTGCCAATGTCAAATCATTTTCACATAGAACAGGTTCCCAATTTTGACTTTCGTGGTCATCTCATTAGAAAACTTAGTCGGTTGGCGACAAACTGGAAAAAAGGATAAACAGGGGAAGTCTCCTTATCCAAATATCCTTTCAATACAACAATTCCTTTGTAAGAACCCCGTAATATGTCACTTGGAATAAATCTATAGGTGGATATCATTTTTACAACCGGTGAAAGTTAAGCGAAATCTGTGCGGTGGAAAATACTTCTTGTTAACTAGTATTGCATGTTGGTGCCTATACTTAAAGTTGAAAGCCTTAGTGATTTTAATCAGTGCTCTTTCGGACCTTAGAACCTGTTCAATAGGATGAGAATGACCAGATGTTGCGCTCCATGGGTACCATGTGACGGTAAACACGGGTTACTGGAAGTTGACCTCTCAATTGCAATACTTTGATTGGTTCGAACTCTCTTGGAAGCTCCGCAGATTGTGGGCAAACAAAAGGTACAATTTTTTTTCTACTTTAATTAATTTTCTTCATTACTATAGGCAATGCCATAACCTGCAAAGCCGCTACATTTTTAAGCACTATTGCTATATGTCATTTGCTTGACCCCCATTGACAATGTACTCCCTGCTGCACGAAAACTCAAATGCTGCTAAAAAACCATGAGGTCATCACTGCAATACTACCAACATTGGCCCCACTGCTGTCTGTATGGTCTTGTAGACTGCCAACCCTCCAGGCAGTTTTTGTCTAGCACAGCAACAACACTCTCGGGCAGGAAAATGGCATGTCAGATAGTTAACAAAGTACGCAAGTGTAAAAAGTCCACACACCTAAACACTAGGTGGCTACAGTATAGTGGTTAAGAGGGCATAATTATGCCCACCCTTGGACATTGTGATTTATCCGAGACGACCACGCCATTAGCTGCAAAACCCCATAAAATGGTAACATGCACACGCTTGGCGACTTCACAAATTACACAACTGCAATTCATGCACAATAATTTAGTTTAAATCTACAAGATCATCGAGAGCATTTACTAGTTACATAGGGGTCAAAATTACAGATTATCGCAACATTGACGAAGTTCGGTGGTTATATCACGTTCGCATGCCCCATCAAACAAATTATTTTTGTTCATTAAGGTCCTCTGTTTAACAGTCCTTTTCATCTCTCTTGTCCACGCTTGAAAAGTGAACTAAACCCTTCATTTCACGAAAGTCACCACATAACCAGTTCCCACTGTGCTTATCTTGTTCTGCCACCATCTCACCAGCGACTGTATTTCAAACCACAAGATCTGCTCTTTACCATTGATGCAATTTCACCAAAGGTAAATGAAGATAAATTTTGTATGCAAATATTAAAATCGACAATACTTTGTTGATCTTGTGAATGAGAGTTTAACTGTTATGACAAGCACTGGGATAATGAAGAAGTAAGACTTCGAGAAAACGGCGTCTTGAATGGCGATACTGTGCAGGTGTCCACTGCATGAGCTGGTGCCATTCTCCACTGGTTGTTTTGAATGTAACAATCAGCAATGCATCGGCACTAAAGTCGGTCTATCCACATATTTACCAACCAAGAGAGCTGCACTGGAAGCACTAATTGTATCGTGAACCAGAATGTTCAAAAAGGAGCCGGGAGGATATTCAGGAAATCTAAATGGGGGTCCAGCCCTCCTCTCAGTACCTAAAATAGGTAATAGTGAAGTGTCAGAACGGGTGCGCTCTACCACTGTGAAATGTAACCATGGCATGTAACCATGTGACCATGGTTGCTGCCGATCTAGCACAAAACCTGCAGCATGTTTACTGGACCAAAATACAGCCTTATTTCAACAATGCAACTAGAAACTTGCACAGATAAAGCTTCAAATATGCTTTTAAGACATTTTGACCTAGAAATAAAACCACGACAGACTTGTGATTTGGCTATATAATCTGTAACCCCACGCAACTTCCCTGAAGGCAAAGGAGGACACAAAACTCGGGCAGACAGTACATTTATTCGACATACAGTAGGACTTGGGGATACTGGAGAGGCCTGGAGGCCAGTCCACCCGACGAAGGTGCCATGGCAGAGCACCTAAGTGGTGTTGTTACCAGCGATTCCCACAGTCAACCTCCTGCATCAGTCATCACATTGTAATCGGTGTTGTAAGAAAAATACTCACAAGCCAACTACACCAGTCACCAAATTTCCATGCAACCGAGGAGATACATGACCGCAACATCACTGATCCCTCTTGGCAATTCTACTGGACGTGGAGTTTCGTCCTGCTGAATGAGAATCGGACTCGGCGACGCAAGAATGTGCCGGTCACCACTCGTTTTCATTGCTAGCAGTAGAAACACTGGTCCAAAAGCAAAAAGTCAAACACCTGCCAAATGACAGTCCCAAGACCACGTTTTCGAACAAACAATCAATGTCTGAAAAGGCTACAAGTCAAATTTACTGCCGCAAGCACTACCACCACCACCTGCATTGCAAACATGTGCCTCAGCCAAACAATCTACTCCACGCCGTCAGCCCCAGACAATCGTTACAAAACAAACAAAGCCCAAAACCACAGAATTGAACATGGAATAAGTTAAAAGTTGTAAGCAAATGAAAAAAATGATTAAAATTGTTTAGTGCAGTGACTGAAAATGAACAAACTTACCCGCTTGGTCTTGTTTCCCTCTCGCCTGGCACATTTCATCTGTTCCACTGCCGATGTCTGTACACCCCCAATACATGTCTCAGCTTCTGGAGCGCGCTTCGCATAGGTGCCTGACGAATTCCACCGAACATGGAAAAGACGATAAGCAATGGGCCAGTAGTTATTTTCTTTCAAGACCTCAAAAAATGATATAGAAATGGAAATGCCACAACTATACACACCCTCTATCAAGTTCGCCTTGTGTTTACCAATGCATTCCACATGGTGCCACACTTTAGTGAGATACACTTCAGATTTACAAAAAGAAACATCTGGAAAGTAGCAGCATTTACATCGTATGCAAACCGATATAAGTCAGGCAGCTGTGATTTTGAGTGGTCGATCATGGAAAACGTTATTATATTGCCAGCCGTCTTGCCATTCTTCAACAGAGTCCTAAATGCGACTGTTAGCATTACCTACAGCTTGTTTTCAATTGCACAGTCAAGGTTCCATTCAGGTAAAGCCAATTTAAGTTGCACCCGGAAATTTGAATGACTTAATCGTAATGCATGAAAGTATGCTACAGCCTTCCAAGCAAACCGTCCCAGGTCTCCGAGAAACTTGTCCTTGCTTCTGAATCAATATCAAATACCAACTCATGTCGAAACGGAACCTACAATTAGGTGGTTGCTAAGACCCCACTATATACGTTTCACAAAGAAAAAGTCAACACGAGCGATGACTGAAGTCACAACCAGTAATGTAGAAGTCAATGAAAAATTAGATTGCGAAGTACCCCATAAGCACAATAAATTCTACCAACACAGACATTATAGCAGCCCAAATAACGTAACTTTATCCATGCCTTAACCACGGAAAGAGTTGAGAATAAGGGGCAAAAGCAAATAGGCGTCTAAAACACTTACGTTGAATCCATTAACACACAAAAGGCAAAACAACTCACTGATTGCAACCCATTCTTACCTGAGAAAGTGCACGAAGTAATGGCAAAAGGGGGGCCTGTATTTAGTGGTGGCCGGTGATGCACCACGCTTATCAGATGATGCTGCATTGGAAACGGATACATTCCTGTCTAATTACGTCTCCTAAACGCCATCGATACAAGTAGAGGCCAGTTCTTAATAAATTTCTCCTTTTTTTACAGACGGAGCCTCTGCAGCTAGAGCATTGCGTTAGTAAGGTTAACGAGGGACCCACTGTACGACAGGAAAAACAATGCAGCAGGCAGTAAACTTGAAAATGGATGGTTAGGTTGGCTAACTTAAAAATTGTTTACTGTTAGGAGAAAGCAAAAATGTTAAAAATGTTAAAATTAAAAAGGTGCTTTAAATCACTAAAATGGAAACATATATTCGTATGTCTCTGTAGGCATATACAAACTAAAACTTGGCGAAATTTTATTAGTTACGTAAAAAGGGTTTTGTCAAAGAAATACACAGAACAAATAAGCTACTATATGTTTTTAATTAAACATAAGTGCATTTATAGTGCCTAAATTTAATGTAATTACTGTTTTAATAGATTTTAATTAAATTTTTTCGCAGCATCATTTTTTAACTTTACAGAAACTTCATTGTTAATTTCTTATCTTTGTAAACTTCAGCACTATTTTCTCTCAAGGTCATTGGGCGTGTGCATGATTGCCTGGTCCACTAGCTCGTTTCCTTATGTTGCAATGGATTGTTCCTGTGTTAGTTCGCTCGTATTACTTCTGAATGATGTCGTTTTCTGTGCAGACCTTCTAGGGTTTAGTTCGCGGGTGGTAGACGAATGTATGAAACTAACCAAAATCCAATGTCTTAGAGTGCATATTTGAAATGTTTTTGTAGTCAAAGTTGGGCTAGGCATTATTCTTTTTTTCTTATTAATTTGCATATATGTTTTTGGTGTTTATCGCCACTCATGCATATATTTTGGGTTTTTTCAGCGCTACGGCTTGTCAGTATGCTTGCTTCCTCAAGAAGTGGTTGGCCCTGTCAAATACAAGCGGCTTGTAATCAGTCTATTGGGTGGTTTTGAGCTATCGCAAGGCAATGGGATTATCGTCTCCCCGTTGTGATGTTGTACTGGTAAGAAAAGGCTCTCACGCTGCTCATTATAGCTATTTGATTGTCACATCTCGGATATGTATGACATGCATCCCTTAGCAGCTCATGATAACTGGGCATGGATCATATTGTGGTTCGCAAAGGATTATTTTTATTTAAAACAATAAAATTGCGGAGACTGGTTGTATTTTTTGGTTTTCGAGCGGAAATTGAACCGGTTTGAGCAGCTGTTCTCAATTAGCGTGTTTATTCAAACATTTACCGACTGGGGTATTGTGATGGATTGCCCTGTCTACCAGACAGACGTCAAATGCAAACACATTAAACTGTGCATTTGAAGCTGCTATTTTGAGTGTCACTCTTGGCTTCCTTCGGCAGGGATTTGCTGGAACTCAGGTTCTTGTCACCGTGTTTTTCTTTTATTTGGCCTTATCGCCAAGGGTGGCTTATCAAACATGTGCAAATGGGTGGTCCTAAATTCGTTTAATGGGAGGTGTTCGGCCCTATTATGCAATATTTTAGTCTTTGGCCGGGCCTGGTTTCACCAGTTTAATTCTGAAACTTGGTCCTTTTGTAGCTGTGCTTTTGCGCCTTTTCTAGCAAAAAATGTAGCCTTCAGCCGCCAAATACGACATCTCCATAATAAAATTCCCCCGGAACTGCGCGGCTATGCAAATGCCTTCATTGTAGGCGCTCTGCTTTTTTATGAGTAATTTCGTCCTTCAAATTGGGACGAAAATGCCTACATTGGCTCAAACCACCAGAAAGTTGGTGCTCAATTCACGAGTGCCGTATTGCCCAAAGCTGAAATCGTAAAAAACAAATGGTATATTAATCTACTGCTTACTGCCATTAAACTGTTCATAAGATTTCGGGATAAAAGCACTTATGAAATCGCTCTTCTCCGCGGCTCAATAATGCCTTTATCATAATTGAAGCGATCTGTATCCGCTAGGATGTAGTGAAGCCTATCGATGTATGGGATGAATCTTACTTCGTTTGAATTATTAATAAGATATCTACACTGTTTGGTAGTATCATTTACCGAGACAGATTACTGTACGAGCATACCATTTTAGGTTAAATGTGGTGTTCAAGCTTTATTTTCTGTCAAGTTAGGGCGTTTACCGTTATTTCTATACCATGTGTTGTATCTATTTTGCGTGGGGAAGTTTATTCTTTTATTTTTTGAATTGACTTGTTTCCGATTGCTCTGAAATACCAGTCCACCTATCTTACATATGCCCTAATGTTTTCGATTTACTGTAAAATGGCAGATTTATTTGAAGGCATCCGTTTGTGCAAGTTAATTAGTCGGATTTTTGTACTGCTTTTTGACGGTAAGCGGCTCCAGAGCCACCTTTTCTTATTGTAAAGAAGAATATGTTGTCAAGCTTATGGCGAATGACCTTTTTATTCTGTTTTGCACGTGATGATCTGATGTTTGGAAAAGTTTGTGGCCGACACTCAAAGAAGTGCGGATATTGGTGCTACGGCGGATGGGCTTGAGATATTACCTTCCTCCCTCATCTCCCTCCTCTCTAATGTGCATCGCGAAGCATGAGTTGGGGGGGATATGAGGAGGGCCTTCATCCAGCTTATTGATTAGTCTCGACTGTTTCGGGAGAGGAGGTAGTGTTGTAGTCACACCTTTGAGTAGTCTTGGGTAGTGGGCACTCACTAGTAATTGCGGTTGGGCTTGCATCAGGTGACCGGTTGCCTTACATGGATAGCTTTTGAAGATTTATGAAGAGACGAAAGCCAAGCAAATCGTCGATCTTTCGGCCACGTGCCCGTTTCTTCCGCCAATCAAAAGGAATCAGAGCTTCTTAATAAAATATCAGTTTGGCTACTGCCTGTCTTATTTGCTGCCATGAATTCATTTGTAAAGTAGAATTCCGTACTCTTCCAAACAGATAGTAGGGACGAGGCGACTTAATCTTAGTTATAACCTTTTTTGAAGTAAATGCGTTTTTTGCGAGTCCACATTGCTTACTTTTCCATCACCTACTCCATTAAGTTAATCTGTGTCCTTTAAGGTTGGCATGGTGCTAGCTTTAACGTTCTCTATTATAAATGCAAGGTAGCATCGAATCTGGTGTGCATACATTTTATCCTCTGCGGATGCAGCAGCAAATATGCGTTCCATGTCCTAACAAAAAACCTCAAATTCCTTTTTCTTGATGTGTCCATTTGCACCATGGGTAGGGAAATTACAACGAATGTTGCCATCCTTGTTTCGTGGTCTTTTGGTCCTTTAAACCGCAACACTCTTTTTGATACAATAACAATTTGTTGACCATTTACAAACGACCCATTCCCTATCCCACACTTCCGCGTCACGCAATGTTTTGTTCCCAGACGATTACTTACTTTTCATAGGCTTGTGTGGTGCTTAATCATTATTGAATGTTCCATCCGTCCCAACAATATCATTTTCGACGTTCACACGAGCTTTGCAAATCTGATTGTAAACCAGCGTAAACAGCTGGGTTTAAGGGTTTCGTGTGTGTTCTTCCATTCTCGATTTTATTAATTTTTTCTATCCTTTGGTGTTCAATCCTATTATAAGTTGGATTTGCTTAGTATTCCATGTTGTCGAGGGAAATTAATAAGAGTGGTTTGGTCTTTACCAAACCATAGCCTGACCTTTGTCCTTCCCTTCACATAGGTTCTCTTCGCAACAGCCAGTAGAAACGTTCGCAGAATATCGACAGCTGCTCCCCCCATTCCTTTTTTCTCCTTTTGCAGCTTCAGTAGTACCTGATTGAACGTGAACTTTAACGAACTTCTTCACTGGTCTTATGGATTGAGGTTCAAACGCTGGAGAAAATGTGCGCAACAAAATATCGGCATCGAAGGTCAGTGGGGCCCTTTGTGATTTAAGCAGCGTTCGGTGTTCATGATCAACGTCTTTAGTAATGGGAATTGCCTTAAGAATTGGTTCAGCATATGCAACGTCATGGTGGCTGTAGGAAGGCTCGTACTTGCTGTCTACGGCCACTGAAAAGGCGTCAACCCGAATAAGGCATGGACTACAATTTATGAGGTACGAATCATCGTGGATTAAACTGACGAAGTCGAGATGGAGTCGTGACGTGACGTGATTGGGACTCTTCCAGCTTGGGGGTAAGTTATTGGTGGAGGTTTTGGAGGTTTGCTTGCCACCTGTTAAAAACCGGCAGTAATTTCCGGATGAGTCCCAACACCGTTATTAATGTGGAAGGCTGAAGCACTATTTCCGACGAATATCGCTGACCGCTCAGGGAACATGGCTGTCATGTGCTCTTGATTGCAAATGGTGTTAGCCAATAGTTCCTCTAGACTCAGTTTTCTGAACCAGCGCAGACCATGCAGGTCGTATGTGTAGAACATTTCGGCGAATGGTGTGTCCTGAAAGGATACCGAACACTCCAGTTGAGCAGCGAATTTCAGTTGGTCACTAACTACACTACTAGCGCTTAAAATTTTATGCTGTTGGGATTTGCCAGTTGGCAGCCCCAGTCTCTCCCATATGATAGTGGTGTCAGCGAAACCGGTGTCCAGCTGTGGTCGTGGTATGCAGCCCGTGAAACAGATGATGATGAACCATAAACGACGTGATGCACTCACTTAGGAGACAGGTCTTGATGACGTTGGGTGGTCTACAAGATTGCTTTGCTTTGCCTCGCCATGTCTTGACGTAACCCGCCTCACCCTGTCTTACCATGTTTGGATCACCTTCTACCTGCTTGATGTTTGTTTTCCCCGTTACAGTTGCATAGGCATTGGCAGGATCGACAGCCTCCATCACTGTGGGCAACAGTGTTGCACTGGCGACGCTAGTAAAGAAAATAGACTAATCAGAAGAAGAGATTTTGCTAATATGAACGTCTAAGTATTTGGCACATAGTGATTAAATTCCCACCTACACCTGGATATCAAGCGTTTAATCTCCAGTTTCGATGTTGTTTTCCGCAACCTCATCATATGCTTTACCACGTAATGCAGAGTTTTGAACAAATTTCTTTTTTTTTGTAATCCATAGTCCCTCCATCTTGTGCAACTTACGAAATACAGGCTTCAGTACTTCCCTACACTCTTTTTATCCTTTTGAGGCATGTCACTCGCAGTGGGTACCAAAGTCTATCAAATCTGACAGCTGATTGACATTTAAAGACAGGTTGTTTATTCATTGCTGTCGGAGAAAAGTGACATTTGAATCTGATTTGCTAGAAATACTAACGGATTTATATGTGAGACGGGAAACACGGGTTTGCTTATTAGGATCTGTCACGCGTTATAAAGTACTTTCGGGAAATACCATCCTTCCAAGTTTTGGTAGAAGCTTGACTTTTGACAACGTAACCACCTGTCTACTGACTTACCTAAGTAGCATGCACCGAAAGACCTGATTTTGCTTTATGTCGTTCGCAAAAACGACAATCTAGGAGAACCTAGCACTTTTCTATCCTCAGTTTACTTGGTAATTGGTTAGGTTAATCCAAAAGGGTCTGACGAACGGAAGCATTAATTTGGGGAGCATAAGGGGGAATGAGTTGTGCGACATGAATATCTTTTTTACCTTTTTGAAGGTAGTACCGGCTCAATCAGTGCCTTTTTTTCGCCGTAAATCCAACGATGGGAAAGACGGCAATCTGTCTCCGCATCATTTATTAAGATCTTTTATGAATCCCCAATTACGTGATGCTTTTATTGAATAGGCAACCATCCCGTCAATCTACCCTACTGAGCAGTGTTTAATGTGTCCCTACAGAAATGTGGCACTGTTCTGCCAAATTTTATGTTAAGTGAAATGGCATCCAAATATGTAAAGGGTGTAGTGGTATGAAATTTTAGGTAACCACTGTCTGAAAGAATTCTAAGAATGAGGTCATTCCTGGGTATCTTTGTGTTCTTCATGTGAGCCAACTGAAAGAAGAAATGAAACAAGCTTTCACAATTGCACGTGAACACCTACGACTGCCGTATATCAGTCGGACTAACGTCCTCTAAAAAGGAGAGTCAGTACAGGTATACAAACCGATCCCCTCACCTGAAGTACGTCGCAAGTTCCACCATCCGTGGGGCAAGATGCATTCCCAGTGATTGAAGTCATCTTACCGGCAAACCATCGCCTTTGCAATGTGCAACTTCGTACTCCGTTAATCGCCCTTCATCACACCGAGGCACGTCCGCATAAGACTGTACCACCTGTCGCATATAAAAATGACGCTTGCGTACTAACGAAAGAAGAAAGACCGCCACTGATGGCATACGTAGAGACCACCCATAAGGAGGGCCCCGAGAACTGTGCTCAAAAAGACGATGGGGCGGTGCAAGACGTGTTTGCTTGAGTACACTTCTCAGGTGAGAAGCGCTCAGTGAGCACAGATCACATTACCGAACAGTCGTCATCGATCGCTGAGGGAAGAGAAGTGCGTTCCCCCAATCCCTGTTCCCTGGTCAATGTACCGCGAATAAAATGTCTTTAAGTGGTCAGTCTACTCATTGCTTGGTGATGAAGGTCAAGGAGGAAGGGATAAACACGGAGTTGTTTACACTCGGAGCTGTTCCATTTATGGCAGACACAAGTTATCAAATGTTTAATGCTTGTGTATCAGAGTCACCTGTATTTCGTTGGAGTAGTTGTAATTCACCTAAGGCAGTGTGAAATGCTGCGGTATTGTGTCAAGTATTTGGTCGCTTAAGGCCATTCTCTTCTTGGAGAGTACTTTGAGCAATGAATATTATAAGAGTTATTGTGTGGAGAAGGGTTAATAAGCCAATGGATTTTATTGGCAGTTGCTCATTTACTTGCCAGCATGTTGACAGTGAAGTCAGCCAGAGAAGAGGTGCAAACCATCATAAGGTAGTAGTGCTAAGAAAAACACATTCTTCACTATTCAGTGGCTAGCCACTATAAAACGAAATACTTAGCTAATCGAAACAGAAAAACTGTGTTGAGAATGCAGGCAAGGGCAGCAAACAGGAAGCTCCTTGGCCAACAAGACGCTAGTCAAGTGCAAATCTCACTCCTCTGTTTGCATTGAGTGGAGTATAGTTACTTAAAATTTAACACTTCCTTGTGTTGTAGTTCCTTTCCAGCTTGGCGTGGCAAGAGGTATATGCTGCTGGGATTCGCCCAATTCCCA